TTTTGTAGAGCGAAAACTTTGTATACTTTCTTCTAAGACTTGGGTCTACTACCACAACTACCAAAGTCTTAGATATCTCTTAATTTAATAAAGAATCTAAAAACTTTCAGAGTCACCCACGTAGATAGAGCAAAGAAAGAGCTATCCAATGAGTATAAAATAATTGAAATCAAAGTAGCAACAAGCCTTCATTTGAGCCACACAAGATATTCTACTACCATCTCAATAATCGTATTTTTCATATTTTTTTTATTATTTTCCTATATCCTTTATAAATGTTTCATCTTTAAATTTTTTTCAAACTAGCAAATTAATTTAAATTTATTTTTCAATGTTGAAAAATACATCAGGTTGATTATTTCAAAAATTCTTAAACTCATCTATATTAATTGATTAGCCATGCTTACAGAGTATGTGTAGTACGATCAATACTTCTCATAGAAGTTATGGTTTGTAAAACTAAAGTAGTTGCATTTATAAGACTTTTATGTGGTACAAGATTTATTATTTTGCTTTATTTGTTTTCATTTTTACTAACTATCAGTATGAAGAAAGGATATTTTATTCTACATCATTGACAATTGACAAATCATCAAAATTTGAATATTGCTATATTCCATTAAATTTCTGCGACAAATATTAACTTTTGATCAAAAAGACGATTTCGCAAGGGAAAACAGCTGATTCCGTGTCATTGGAATCCCTTGGAATAATCGGAATCCCTCAGAATCCCTCAGCGTCATCATGAGATCAATAGGAATGCAGTTTTCAGAAATGTGCTCCAAGGTTATTTCGGGTCGAGAATCCGAATCTGAGGTGCATTTGCCACGAAGTCCCATTGGTCGATCAGAAACCAATAGAAATCGAGGTTTCGGGAAAAGTATTCTCCAGGGGTTTTTTGTGATGAAGAAGCGGAATCTGAGGCCCGTTTGCCTGGACATTTTATAGGTCGGTTGAGGATCGATAGAAATCGTGTTTTCAAGAAAATCATCGCTTGAGGACCCCTTTGACAAAAATCGATGTTGATCTGCACTCTAAAAAAGTTCGGTGTTTTTTACTATCGAAAACTCTTTTAGGGTTTCCGAGTCATTCTGAAATTTTTCTTGAGTGTTTCTGAGCCTTCGGAAACCCTGAAAGAGTTTCCGATAGAAACAAATACCAAATTTTTTTAGAGTGTGTCTATCGATTTCGTAGTTTAGACCTTGTAAGATAGAGCACATCCTCCACTGCGGAATACAATGCAGTCAATGAGCTTTTTGATGTTATGCAATGACAGTATATGGGTACTTCTGAACTCCGTTGCTAAAGAAATACAAACATCTCGCACCTTTTGGTTTTGAATCTCACCAGCTTCTCTAGAAGTTTGTTTTTTAAATGAATGTTATCATCATTGTATCGAATATACGATATTTACGTATTTGCTTCTATTTGGCTCTCTACTCTTGAAAGGCCCTGAAGGGGTCTAGTGTTGATTTCGAATGACTGGGAAGAAAAGCAAAGGACATGAAACAATGAAAAAAAATAACCTAAGAGCAGCAGTGACAAAGTACAAAATCTATTTATCCCGAAATCTGTGAGCCGTTGACCAGGAAGTAGTTTCCAGCAACTAGGACAGAGCTTGTTCATTCAATGAAATGGGACTGCGAGAGGAAAAACTCGATCCTGATATGGATAGATCACAGCCGAGCAAATCAGACATTTTACCATTACTCTTTTCACAAACATACGGCATCTAACACCTCTCTGGATGCATTCTTTTGGTCGATCATGATCAATAGTCTAGAAATAATCACTGGGACAGTTATTCTAAACCATGTGAGGAGGAGAGCGACTCGGCTTAAATTTCAAAATTTATTTTGAATCTTCTCAAAATATGTTACTTTTTCTAGTCGTTTCCGTATGTCCCATATTTCTCGCCAACGTTTAACGCTGAAGTGCAAACCCCGGTGTCAAAATGAATAGAAAAACAGTTTTAGAACATAAATGAGCCGGACATTCCCTCTTTCTCTTTGATTTTTCTCAAACACCAACTACTCTGGACTCATACACCCTGATGCCTTCGTAGTTTATCAGAACCTTTTGAGAAATATAAATAATGCAAAACTTGAAAAATTGGGGCTCTATCAAGTTTTATCTCAACCTCTACACTATATTTTGGGATCAACACGAATTTGTCGACCTTTACGATTGTGAAGAAGGTGGGATCCACGCGGACATATATTTTGAGGATTAATGCGATCGTAACGGTTGACAGAGTCAAGATTTCCACCTGAAACAATAACTGAGCAAATCTTCATTATTTATGATTTTCGGGTAGCAATCAAATTTTCAGGCACATCTGATGCAGGTTTGAACTTCCAGCTCCTTAGTACGGCCAAGGGATGGTTTTCCTGAAAAATCGATTTCTGTTAATCCTCAACCGACCAATAGAACGTCCAGGAATATGGACCTCACATTCGGATTCGTCGTCCAAATAACATCAGGAGAACTACGTTTCTGAAAACTGGATTTCTATTGGTTCCCGACTGACCAATACGGTTTCAAGGCAAATGGACCTAAGCTGCGGATTTCTCACGCCAAATAATTTCTGCTGGACACCTTTCATAAAAAATGGATTTCTATTCGTTCCTGAGAGACAAATAGGATTTCGAGGCAAACGGACCTCAGATTCCACTTCTCGACCCCAAATAACCCCTGGAGAATACTTTTCCCGAAAACTCCATTTCTACTGGTTCCCGACCGACCAATAGGATTTCGAGGCAAATGGACCTTAGATTCCGCTTCTCCATCACAAAAAAACCCTGGAGAATACTTTTCCCGAAACCTCGATTTCTATTGGTTCCTGATCGACCAATGGGACTTCGTGGTAAATGCACCTCAGATTCGGATTCTCAACCCGAAATAACCTTGGAGCACATTTCTGAAAACTGCATTCCTATTGATCTCATGATGACGCTGAGGGATTCTGAGGGATTCCGATTATTCCAAGGTAGTGGTGGGGGGTGGGGGGGGGTGGGGGCGTG